AAAAGAAAAATTGATACACCTGTGTTAGTAACAAAGTTCTTTTTGAAATATTACCCATACTTGAAATCCATGGTCCAAGAACAACTGCACTAAACTGGATTTGGCTTGAAGTGATAGCAATAAGAAACATTGATTTTCCTTCGCCCGTGATTATAGCCTGACTTTCTAAAACCTACCATTATTAGTCATTCAGTAGTCAGCTCTCTCCAGATGTAATGAGTGTGTCCAATTGATCCTAAATTTGTTGGGAGTAACGCTCTCTAGAATAATGGTTCTCAACCTTCCTAATACAGTTCCTCATGTTGTGGTGACCCCCACCCCCAACCATACAATTATTTCCGTTGCTACTTCATCGCTGTCATTTTGCTACTGTTATGAATCGGGCGACCCCTGTGAAAGGGTCGTTCGACCCCCAAGGGGTCATGACGCACAGGTTGAGAACCGTTGCTCTAGAAGCTAGTTATGGGATAAAGTGCCAAAGAAATATTAGTAGAAGAAATATATTACTCGTTGCTGTAGAATCACGCTGACACTACGTGTGTCATTATTGTTAGGAGAACTGTGTTTTTGGAAGGTGTTCGAGGCTTGACCTTTCTGAACTAGATTCCCGTTCCGTCTCCCAAGATGAGATGCAGGTGGGTTGTGGGGAGAGCCCGCTTTCCAAAGTGTGGGAAGGTCAAAATGTCACACCCTTCCCCGCAAACTAAGCCCTGCAACCCCAGCAACCCCCCAGGCTTCTTTGATGTGGACATCGGAGGGCAGCAAGTTGGTCAGATTGTCTTAGAGTTGTTTGCAGATGTTGTCCCTAAAACTGCAGAAAATTCTCGTGCATCGTGTGCTGGAGAAAAAGACATTGGACCCACAACTGGAAAACCGCTCCATTTGAAAGGGTGCCCTTTCCATCGAGTTATTAAGAAATTCATACTTCTGGTTAGAGACTTCTCCAACCAGAATGGGACAGATGGAGAAAGTATTTATGGGGGAAACTTTGAAGATGAAAATTTCTATTATAAGCATGATCAGGAAGGTTTACTGAGCATGGCAAATGCAGGGCCCAATACAAACCGTTCTCAGTTCTTTATCACAACAGGTCCAGCTCCTCATTTGGATGGTAAACATGTGGTGTTTGGCCAAGTTATTGAAGGAATGGGTGTGCCAAGGGTGCTGGAAAGTATAGAAGTGAAAGGTGAAAACCTGCCAAATTGTGCATTATTGCAGAATGTGGAGAACTGAAAGAAGAGGATGATTGGGGAATATTCCCCAAAGGTGGCTCTGGTGACAGTCATCCAAATTTCCCTGAGGATGCTGAGATAAATTTTAAAGATGTAGATAAAATTTTATTGATAACAGAGGACGTACAAAACATTGGAAACACTTTTTTGAAATCCCAGAACTGGGAGATGGCCCTAAAGAAGGATGCCAAAGTTGTAAGGTGTGTAGAAGGCTCGCAGGCTGTTAGTGAGAAAGCAAATAGATCCAAGCTACGACCTATAGTTTTAAGCTGTGTGCTGAATATTGGAGCTTGTAAACTGAAGATGTCCAATGGGCAGGGAGCAGTTAATAGCTGCTCGGAGGCTCTTGAACTAGATCCAGCAAATACTAAGGCGCTGTACCGCATAGCTCAAAGGTGGCAAGGATTAAGAGAGTATGATCAAGCACTGGCTGATCTCAAGAAAGCTCAGGAGATAACATCTGAAGATAAAGCTCTCCAGGCAGAATCGCTGAAAGTTTAGCAAAAGATAAAGGCACAGAAAGACAAGGAGAAGGCAGCTTATGCAAAATTGTTTGCATAATAAAAAATTGAATTTTGCTTAAATATTATGCATTGGCTGTATAAAGGCAATAAGAAGATTTAAGGATGTTTGACTAATGTTTCCATAACATGTTTCTTTTCATGCTCTAGTTTTCCATTGTTTATTGTTTAGGAATACTCATTGATAAGGCCTCTTAATAAAAAGTGTCACAAAGTCAAAAGAAAAATAAGTGTGGGGAGCGGCAGGCAGAGCGGCCTGCGGGTGTTGGCTTCTCCACACCCAGATACTTTGCTATGTCTGAAATTTCACCAGTAAGAATCCCTCTTTTCAAAACAGAAATACAGGTGATTCGCACATTTCTCCCTGTTCGTGAGGTTGCTTTCATTCACTTCCCTGAAACGGCCACACGAAGGAAGCGAAAACGCTGAACGGAGGGGCATGAGGAAGGCGATTCTAAGATGTTAACGATTTGGACCATGAGCTGCAAAAGGAATGGCAAAGTGACCAGAGGCCCTGTGGTCTGACTCTAGACAGAGAGGGCGGCCCCGTGGGTCCCGTGCTCCGGAAAATGATGGAAAGCCTTGAACGCCTTGATTCAAGTCTTTTGTCTTTCCTCCGAATAGAGACTTTAAAGAAGAGCTGTTGTTGCTAAACCTTTGTGTCTGTTGAATGTACACATAGGACTGATTTTGGAAACTTAATTATCCTTTATGTTGTCTAACAGCAAATACAAAGGAACTTCAAAAAGAGTCCATGGAAAAACAGCTTTAAGAGATCATGGGTTTTCCCACACATCTTAAAGCCCTCTTCGGTGTTCTCCGTATAGCGCGTGGGAGTCCTTGTGAGGCTCAACTACTAGCAGAGAAGGTGGCTGAGGGAACCTCACCAGAGGCTTGACAGTTGGCTTTCAACTGGTCAAAGCCTTGAGCTGGCCAAGCGTCCACGACAACTAACAAGCAACAGCAAACATGTATCAGAGCCCTGCCGCCACCCACATCCTCTTTCTTGACAGTTCTCTTGACAGAGGGAGCCGGCAACTTGCTTCCCTTTTTCTGTTTGCTTTCGGTAACTCAGAAAGCTGTTTTTCTCTTGACCTGAAGAAAAGTTCTAATGACTCTCCTAGAAAGAGGGTTTGGGGGAGTTAGATTCTACCTCTGCCCCCAAAACTCCACAATGCGATACATATGGTCCATTGCAGGCTGGAAGTCTGACTCCTGCTTTCTATCAGGAAGCAGGTGTCCTCTGGTCTGTGTAGTCATGGCTACAGGAGATGCAAATGGGAGGAGTTGGGGATGTGAGCCAGGGCCTGGGAATCTGCCCAGAAGCCCAAACCCCAGAAGAAATTGTCTGACTTTCTGGTGGGAAAGGAGTGGGGTGTCCATCCTAGAACGTCCCAAAGGGAGTTCTATACTGATGAGGAATGGGCTTTCCCACACTTTAAATGCAGCCATACGGAGGAGGTGAGAGCCTGCTTTGCCTTCAAAGGGAAATATGCTGCTGACTCAGACCAGTATTTATCAGTCTTGAGAAATGTCTTTGAATGGGTGGCTGCTAACCCAGAAAAAGAAACCTGAATTACTAGTAGGTCAGTCACATAATCTTTCCAGGAAACAAATACAATTTCAGTAAATTGATGTTTTTTTAAAAGACACTTAGTCTAGAGCTTCTTGCTTAGCATCTGATGATCATTTACAAAGAAGTGTTCTTAGCCATTCAACATGCATTATGTTTTTAACCTCTCTTCCATGAATACATAACAATAAGCCCATGACTAACAATCATTCTCCCCAAAAAGAAAAGTTCAACTACTTGCTGAGTCAAGAGATCCCTATATAGAGGAATAAAAACCAAAGAACTCACAACGACTGAGTTGATGCCGACTCACTGCGACCCTGTAAGACCAGGTAGCACTGAGCGTGTGAGTTTCCTGAACTGGAACTCTTTATGAGAGTAGAAAGCCACATTCCTGCAGAGAGGTTGGTGGTTTCAAACTACTGACCTTGAGGTTAGCAGCTCGGTGTGCAACCACTATACCCCCTGGCTAGTTAAAATAATAATAAAGCATTTTTAAATTTTTATTATTTTTTAAAGATCATTTTATTGGAGGCTTTTATAGTTCTTCTGACAACCCATACATCAATTGTATCAAGCATATTTTTATATATGTTGCCATCATCATTTTCTAAACATTTACTTTCTATTTGAGCCCTTGGTATCAGCACCTCTTTTTCCCTCCATCCCCCACCCATCCTCGTGATCCCTTACTAAATCATAAGTTATTATTTTTTTATCTTTCACGGGATCACTGTCTCCCTTCACCACGTTTCTGTTGTTCGTGGGAGGTTAGGTATCGACCACGGTGATTATATAATGCCAAGCAATACATCTGGAAATGTTTGAGGAGACCCATGAGAGTAAGTCGCTCCCATCCTAGGGGTCCCAAAATCTTAGATGCCTACGAGAACAATAAGACAACCAGCTGCCATTGAGGAGTTTCAAACTCGTGAGAGCCCCAAATCTGCCTGAGTAAAACTATGCTTCATAATCTGTTTAAAGGCTGATTTTTTAAAAATTGGATCCCTATGTCTGTATTTTGAGATGCCACTGCATGCACTCAAATGGATGAAGAGTTAAGTGTGCTGACCATTCAGGAGCCCTGGCTGCATTGTGCAGCTAGGTGCGAAGTCAGCAGTTCAAACCACCAACCCCTGTGCTCTCGACTTCCATGAAGAGTATGGCAACAACTTGATGGCAGTCGAATTGGGGTTTGCTTTGGTGCTATCCATTTGCGTCACCCAAGGACTCTTTACCAAGCCCCAAACCTAATCCACTGCCATTAAGTCTGTTACAAGTCTTAGTGACCCTCTATAGGCTTTCCAAGACTGTAAATCTTTACAGGAGCAGACAGCCTCATCTTTCTCCCCTGGAGGATTTGAACCACAGAAATTGAGGTTAGTAATCCACCAATTGAGTCAGCTCAACTGTAACTATTTATGGAAGTAGAAAGTCTAGTCATTCTCCCTCACAGCTGCTAGTGGTTTTGAACTGCCAACCATGTGGATTTCAGCCCAATGCATAACCACTACACCACTAGGGCTCCATATATAAGGATTCAGAAGCTATATGTCTTCACAGGAGCAGATAACCTTGTCCTCGTCTGCATTATCCCTGGCTAAATATGCCTGGCCATCCAAAACCAATGAAAACTTCTTATTAATATTATTTATTAAATAATGCTTCTTCTAGCTATGATGAAAGAAAAAGGAAAATGGAAAAAGACTACCCAAAGAATATTGAAGAAGAATTTTCTGGAGTAAATGGCCAAATAGATGCTGCTGTGGAATTAAATGGTGAGTATTTTCACAGAAAGCTATTTATCTGGGTTAATTGTGACAAGACATCTGAGCTCTGAAACACAACAACAGCAAATGAGCTTCTACATGGGGAGTCATTACTTTTAAATTTATCAGCCAGATTATCCAATAGAATGAGCCACTATAAAGAATATGTCGTTGTGGTTCATCCTTTTAAAAAGTTTTAAAGTATAGATTCAATCCATTAGTTGACTAGATCCTAAAGTCTACCCATATTGAAATTACCTTTTTCATCTTTAAAAAGGCACATACTCTCAACTTGTCCAGTGACTTTCCCCACTCTACCACCCCAACTCCTTAACTTTAACACGCCACTGGGAAATTTCAACGCAGCTGAGTTAGAACACTTTCATTGAATCCGATGAGTCAGTCTGTCCACACATCCTTCTTGAGTATTTTGCAGACCTGGACACTGTTCAGGAATGCTAAAGGAGTTTCAAACATTCCCTCTTTTCTTTCGGAAGATGTTTTTGGAAAATATCCATTCATCTCCCGCATATGAAATGACTAGTGAACAAAACAATCTATAATTAATATTGACTTGCCATGTAGTATTGTCTTCAGAATAATTGCAAAATATGATCTGGGAAACCAAAAACCTAAGTTGGATTGTGATAAGAGCTGTACAAGCCCCCAATAAAATGATTTTTTTTAAAACTACCTACGTCAATGGCAATACTTGAACGTTTCTGGTGGGACTTCAGCTGGATTTTGAAGATTGTCTAGAGATTTCGCTAGAGAGGGGAAAGATTGAGGCATGGATTCCTGGAGGGAAAACCACCTGATCAGATGCATGAAGCAGAATTGAGCATGACGTGAGTGGACGCCCTCCAAGGACATGCCCTCCCATGTCTGAAGCAAAGAGAAAACGATGAGAGATGGTAGAAAAGTTGAGTGTCTGGTTCTAGGGCCCCCAAAGAGCCAAGCAGAGGATGACTAACTGGAAACTGACAGTTGCTCTCTGGGTCTACCTCAAGAATGCTGCATTTACAAATTCTGTCATTTACATGTCTGCACATCTTTCCTGGTAACCCCAATCTCACCTTTCTCTTTTAGGGTACATATACTTCTTTTCAGGACCCAAAGCATACAAGTATGACACCGAAAAGGAAGATGTGGTTAGTGTGGTGAAATCGAGTTCCTGGATTGGTTGCTAACGAGAAAAGTCGGGTCTGTCCCAAGGCGTCAAGTTGATGACAAGCAGCTGTAACCGGGTATTAAGGGAGGAAGCAGAATGCGGGATAGGGATTCTCCCAGCCTTTGATTCTAAGAGGAATTTAGAGTTCATTGAAATAATCATACTCCTCAATTTTATCTTAGTTATAGATGAAGAGAGTTGATCCAAATGAAATATTCGTGTATGGCCAAATTTATACAGAATCGGAATCCACACTTCGTCCTCTCCAGCTAGACATGCCTTAGTTTTTGTCTTGCTCAGTATCCTGTGGCAATTGTTTCCTTTGGGTCTTATTCCTAAGAAGAATTCCACTTGTGAGTTTTCGGACATATTAAATAGGTAATGGCAATATCTTATAAATTACAATTATTAGCCACTCCAAGCAGTGAAGTTTGTAACCTGAACATTTGTTTGGATGAATATAAAGTTTCTCATTGCTATTTTGAAGCATGCCACAAACAAAACGACTGTACAGGGCTTAGTTTTGGTTTGTTTAACTCTGTGTGTATTCACTACTTTCTAAAGTGTGTTATGTTCAGCAAACTAATTGTTATACTAGGCAAAAGATGGGAAGTTTACAACACGCACCCTTTCTACAGAAGCCAGTAAAATAGAACTCTTCCTCATGTCTCTTCTGTTTATATTTACTAGCTTCTATCAAACTAGACTTGGCAACACATGTTGTGTTCCTATGGACAGCTGTAATCCAAGAGATTCTTTCTCGTGAGTCTAGAGCCCCAGAAGACATTGCAATAGTAATTACTCTGTTTCCTGCCTCCTAACAATAATATCCGTCATAAGGTAATTTTTCACTTGAGGCAATTCATCCACTGGTTCCAGTTTTTCTTCATTAAAGGTGTTTTTTGTTTTGTTTTTCTTTTTTTCTTTTGTGTGCTTCCGTCTTCAGTAGACATAGCATGGCGCTGTCTGTTATTCGTTCCATTTTCAAACATCGTTCTTTACAATGTAAGAATTCTAGAACACTTTATTGGTTGGCATATTACATGTGAAATGAACGTAGAGCACTTCAGACCCTACCTGGCACATGTGGACTGTTTCACAAGTAGGTGCTCATGTTACCTTCTTTTATTAAATGTGCTCATATGCACACTAAAAACATGCAGTAGTCAGATGAGAGTGACCTCCAGGTCACTGTAAGCTTTCTGCTTGGTTTCTGTCACCAGAAGTGGCAGTTTGTGGCCAGCCAGGGACTATTGAAGATAAGGCTAGATTCTCTTGTTGTCCGATGCCCTGCTGCCTCTACGGAGTGAGAAAAGCATGATAACAGTTGTATGAGCCCCTAATAAAATGTTTAAAAAAAAAAACAGTCAGCTGAGGAGAGTTTCATAGCGCTAATCTGCAAGAAGGGAAAACAGGCTGGTAATTTCCCAGAAGGGAAAACATAGAGTCCCCATACGCCCCAGCATTTGCATGTCTAAACATATGAGAACATGTCCACACACAAAAACTGTGTCCATAAATGTTCCTGGCAGCATTACTCACAACAGCCAAACAGTGGAAACAGCCCAAATGTGCATCAAGTGATGAACAAATGAATAAAATGTGCTGTATCCTCACAATGGATCACCATTCTCTCCTAAAAAGGAAAGAAGGATCGATGTGTGCCACATACAGCAGGATGGACCGTGAAAGCATCATGCTAAGTCAAAGAAGCCAAAAGCAAAAGGCCACTAATTATATGATTACTTGTGTGAAATGTCCAGGGTGGACATCTCTATAGAAACAATGAGCTCGGTAGTTGCCTTGGGCTGGGGTGAGGGGATGGGGTGGCTTGGGGTGGAAATAGACAATGACTGCTAATGTGTACAGGATTTCATTTGGGGGTGATGAAGATGTTTTAAAAATTATTGTGGGGATGATTATGCAACTTTGTGAATATACTGAGAGCCATTGAATTATATATTTTAAATGAGTGAATTATTTGGCATGTGAATAATACCTCAATAAAGTTATAAGATCTGTTAAAAATAAACAAGGAAATCAAATGGTGTGGTGGTCCACGTGGCATGCACCCAGATCACTATAGCAGGGGCCAGCCGGCCAGGAACCCCACAGCCTGCAGACACCTCAAAGACCTCTCTCAGTCCAATGCCAGCCCAGGGCCACGTACCTCCGAGATGCTGCAGTCAATAAATGAGTCTTGCTGATGGCAATGAAGCACGTACCCTGTAGTTAGTCAGACGAACTGTATTTACGCCTCGGATCTCCTTCATTTGTCAGTGTATGGGACCGGTCAGACTCTCTAAGTGTCTTTGCAAAATTGGAATAAGAATAATTCTTACCTCTTAGGGATGTTGAGAGGCTTAAAAATATGAGTGAAAATATGCCAAGCTCTCAGAGTCGTCTCTGGCGCTCTCGCGGAGCTCAGTAATTGTTGCTTATTCAGCAGTTAGAACGCAGTTTGTTGAGCTGTTTTAGGGAGTTGGTATCTTCACTGATACAGCTGAAGACCTGCCGAACTGCAATAACCACTGAGCTGCTGTTCTGGAGTCAAAGTTAAATCTTTATCAATCGATTTATCTTTTCAATAATCAAATAATAGACTGACTGAGGTGAACCCTCTACATGCTTTGCTCCCTGCAAAACTACTTCCTCTAAGCCATCATCCCTTTGAGGAGTTGGAAGCTAGTATGCGTTTGGAAAGATGTCATCTCTCTGGGACAAGAACAGTGATTGTGTTTGCGTCACCACTCTGCAGGAGCCTCTAGATCATCATTCGGTGGAAGAACTCTGTGCAGGAACCATTTACAATCACCTGTAACACTTGGAATTATTGAGTGCAAGAAGGAAAATGTTCTGTTATGTAACACTTTAAGACCAAGCAAGGTGTATTTCCATTCGGGGAGTCAGATGAAACAAGGCAGAAATCACTTTCTGATGACCTCTGTTTACGGGCCTTAGTAACTTGAGTGATAACTGCTAATGGGCATCCTAGAAGCCCTTTGGATGTCTGCAAGAGGGTTCAGAGACCCATTCGGGCGGTAGTTTCCCTACCAGGTCTCCGTATAATTGTTGGTGCTTAAAACCAACCTGTCCTCCATTGAGCGTTGTGGGAAATGGCAGAACTAGTTTTTGCTCCTGGGCCCTCCGTTCTTTTGACAGTTGACAATGATTTTTTATTTAGGATGCTGTGTAAATATAAATTAAATAAATAAATACATTTAGGACGCTGTGTAGAGCTTTCACGTTGCTTTCATTTACCTATCGTCTAAGTGTGTCCCTTTATTCCATTTCCTTTGACTGACAAGAATCTTAAGGCTCCTTGAATTTCATAGCTAAAATTACCAAATGAACTGTCCTTTGAGAGGACATGCACAATGCTGTCAAGAAGCTCAGGCTCCCCACGTGGAGCATACAAAAGATTTTCTGCATTTCCCCGAGGTCATCCTCTCCCTCGCTTCTGAATAACCAAAAACAATCCAACTACTGCCATCACGCAACCCTATATAGTGTCCGAGACTAAATCTCCGCAGATGCAACCAGCCTCGTCTTTCTCCCATGCAGAGATAGCTGGGATTTGAACCATTTGACCAGAGCTAGCAGCTCCGTACTTAGCCCACATCACCATCTTCTCTCCCACGTATCAAAACTCAAACACCACACGCACTGCCATCAAGCCAATTCAGACCCACAGCGACCGATAAGACAAGGCAGAACTGCCCCTGTGGGTTTCTGACTCTGTAATTCTTTTTTTTTTTTTAATCACTTTTTGGGGGCTCATACAATGCTTATCACAGATCCATAACACATCCATTGTGCAATGTGTACAACACATTTGTACATGTTTTGCCCTCATCATTCTCAAAATATTTGCTTTCTCCCTGAGCCCTTGGTAACAGCTCCTCATTTTCCCCTCCCACCCCGCTCCCCCTCCCTCATGAACCCTTGATAATTTATAAATTACAGAAGTGGAAAGCCTTGTCTTTTTCCCATGGGGCTGCTAGTGGTTTCAAACTACTAATCTTGTGGTTAGCAGTCCAATATGTAACCACTATACTACCAGGATTCCTTTAAGCCTGTGCAGAAGGAAGACTAGAATCCTCTGATTGTCTCCCATCCGCTCAGCCTGATTTTGACACCATCACCTCCCAAAGTGGATCGTCAACATGATTAGAGCAAAAGACACTCTGCTCTACTCAAAAATGGCACAAACTGCACTGCTCCCACCAAATAAATTCTTGGGATTGAACTAGGAGCAAAAGTGGAAAACATGCTTCTGGGGTCAAAAGAGGACTTTTATTATGTGCATATATCTGCATTTTTAATCTCCTCTTCATTATTCTTAATCCAACATCCTATCATTTATAAATATTTTAGAATGAAATTAAGGGCTTTATTACGTAATGCATCATGTTGTTCTGACAAGAGTGGAAGAAAGGCCTGAAGAGAGAAGGTCGTGGAAGTCAATAAGGAAACAACTCTGAAAGACCAGGTGAGAAATGTCCATCTTAGGTGATCTGAGTAGAAAAAAAGTATGTCTATAAATTGTCAGCAATTTTCTTATCCTTATTAGTCCTAGAACTGCAATGCAAAAATAACTAATGTGATCTTATGAAGCTGCGTGAATGTGTCCAGAGCTACCTCTCTTGAGGATGAAATGTCAAAAATCCTATCAGAGCATATCCCACCAGAATGTAAGACTGTCCAAGGAATCCAGGGTGCTGGTTTGCTGGAGTTTAGACCTATGTCTTTATATGAACCAGCTAGTCCAGAAAATCGGTACTTTTCTCAGCAGATTCTTTAAAAGCTTTCATGTCTTTGCTGGATGGTTGTATTTGTTTGTTTGCTTGCTTGCTTGCTTATTTGTTTTGTGCGTGTGTGTGTGTGTGTGTGTGTTAATATCGATACTCTCAAGACCGTGGGCCTACATTCCCAAGTCCAGTGACTCATTTGTTCAAGGTGTTGTTGTTGTTAAGACATTTGCAGAACTCTGCAACTTATTTTCTCTACAATATCCTT